GACTCAGCCTGTATCCATAGACACGAACTCCCAGGTCCTTGGCCTCTGACCACCATTTATTGCCTTAAAGTTTTGTAGCTGGTTTATTTGTTTTTTCTCACTGTATGGGTTATTAATGGAACTATGCAGACACTTTTCAGTCCAGGTGATCTCTTTTATATCCTGAAAAATCTTTTTTATCTTGTTGTTCTGGTTAACATGACTGATACAGCAATAGTTCAGGTAACTGTGTTTGTGTTGCTCACAGAGTTCTAAGTTTTATGTGCTGCTCATCACTGTCATGCTTCCATGATTCTCACATTGTTGGGACTCTTCCTAACTTTCATCTGTGACAGTCTTATTTCCTGTGAGTAGCTTTCTTCACCTTGTGGCTGACCTGTGGTTGAAGACTAAATAGCTGATTCTACTCTCAAATTATGATACTTGATAAATTTTGTAGCATCTGTAGCATCTTTGATTCCTATGGGAAATGTAATTTTCTATGTTTCCCAAGCCACTTGAGTTTGGAGATGAAATAGCTGCTTATTTTTAAGGCACCTACTAAGTACATTCAGACACTTATCCTTCTGCAATGACTCCTGTGGGTCATCCTGTGATTATATGCATGAAAAACACATCATTGGGTGAACAGCAGTGCCTTGGTATTATTGGCACCCAGTGTTTGGGAAGGCATTTTGCATTTTAAGACAGAAAAATAGCTTTATTCGCTTTTTTGTTATCTTCTTTTAAAAGGCTTAAGCTCTGAGCCAGGTTACCTTTTTTTCACCTCTCCTGCATTCTGTTTTGTTTCTTTCAGTGAAGCTAAACCCTCTCAGGTCATTTAGTAACTTTATGGCTTGGGCCAATAACGGGGGATGGACACATCCTCACACCTTTTCCTACCCTTAGACACCCTTCCTCAGCATGTTCTTTTGAAAGTTGATTGCCATCTGCAGCTCACGCCTGAGCTGTGCCATGTTTTGTGTCTGATCAGCTTAGTGTGTGACTGGCCTCGTGTAAGCAGCTTGAGCCAGGAACAGAATTTTCTGCAAAATCATTAGCTGCACAGCAAAAATAATGCAAGCTCAAAGGTAGCATTAATGCTTCTGTTTTAGTAACACTTGCTCTTACAGTCAAGCAGATATTGTCATAGGTATCATAATAATTGTATTACAGCCCCCTGTCTCCAGCTGTTTGACCACATACAGAGGATACTCAGTCATCATCAGGATGGGTTAAGTGATGCACTTGCACAGTGAAGTACTGTTTGCAGAAACAGAGTTTTTTCTCTTCTGAAAGAAAGAAGAAGATGCAGCCAAAAGAGCAGTGCCTAGTCCCTCCTCTCACTTCCCATTTTGCCTCAGATAACTACCTTGCTAATACATTAATTCAGTTTTGTACAAATACCATTTAAAATGTTTTAACCCAACTTCTCCCATTAAGAATCCAAGCTCTTAATAACTGCAGTTTCATCTTCTCACTGTGTGAGTTGATGACTTTTTTTCTCCCATCATTAGACACTGTAAGCCCTTTAGGACATGTAACTTCCTAGTTTGCTTTGATCTTTCTTTGATATACTGCTGTGTATCTCATGTCACTGGTGAGTAATTTCTCTGGGCACTGATTGATGTTGATTTAACTATGGCAGCAGTAGTTACTTCTCCCACTTGTCCCAGCTGCCCCTCTGCAGGAGGTGCTGTCCCTGTGGCAAAGGCAGCTGAATGGATGGTGTTTGCTCTGCAGTCTTTGCAATTTACAGCCTGATATATTGAACGGAAAATCAACAGCAGCTCATTTATAGGGCAGCCATGGTGGCAGAGGAGGAAAGTAGTGGAGAAGCCTAGGGTGGGTGGAGTCGTAGTCTATTTGACCCCATTAATGGTCCCCGTCAAATTTATGCTTGTCCTTCTCATGTGAGATGTGTTCCTTTTGTAAGTAATCTTTGCTGAAGGGGTCTTGGTTTTTACTTGTGACAAGAGCAATTAATTCTGTCTTCATTTCTCTCGTGTAGGTTTGGGATTTTTGAAAGCATGCATTGCTGGCTTGCCTTCTGCACTTGTCAGAGGCATCAGAATTTTCCTTGACTTTACTGAGAGAAGTTAAGCAACTACTGGGTTCTTTTGAAACTCACTGTTGCCATAGTAGGTAGGACAGGAAGATGTAATAAAGCTTTTAAGGGTTATTGATATAAAAACATAAGCTGTCCTTTTGAAAGCCTAGACTGACTCAATACTGAAGTGCTTATGTAAGAGCTGATGGCACTTTTAAGCAGTGGAGGATGAAAAATGTTGACACATTTTTTTATGTTCTAGAATAGATAATTTTTTTGTTTGGCAGCTAAGGCCATATATTTGTGCTTACAAAACACTTAACTATTTTGTATTGCTTTCCTTTTTAAGGATACCAGAAGATTTCATCGTGGACTTTTCCAGTGTAGTCTTTGGAAACAGGTTAGTATCTTCATGTGCCATGGATTGTGCACCCAGCTGGGTTGCACAAAGCTCTACTGACAAAAAACCCAGGCCTATTGAAGGAATAGCAAAATTCTCTCAATTAATGAGAGCAAGATTGGTCCTATTATTTTGATTCAACATAGCATGATGTCCATCATACGTGGCTATATATGCAGTAAGTAACTTTCATGCCAGTATTCAATTTTTCTGTGGTTGTCACCCATCAGTTTTTATAATGTTTGTAGCCTCTGTAAGGTGCATCAATACCTACAGATGAAAAATGCCTTCCAGGATGTGGGAAACAGTTCTTCCCCACGTAAGTCTAAACAAAATGCCTTTTAAGTCAGCAAAGGCTTTCTGCTGATTATACCCAGCTAATGGACCAAAACCAGGCCTGATGCTCAAGGACAAATTAATTACATCAAGGACACAATTAAGTATTTTTATCATCATTATCATTGTAAGTGAAGAGCCAAAGTGTAAGACTTGCTTGGTTGAGAGGCAAGGTAATACACCCTCTACATGCTGTGGTTCATGGAAGCTTTCTCAGATAGCATTTAGTTAAGTCTTAACACACAGCTGAGCTGGGAATTCACACTGGGTGACTTAATGACATGTATGAGATACCAAGTGCTCTGCTTGCTGCAGTTCATTTTCTAAGCAGCATTAACACAGTGGCTCCAGAGGAAGTACTAAATCAAGAACTTTTTGAACAACCTATCTCTTTTATCTATGCTAGAGATTCCTTTTTTCTCTATGGTCTCTGCTCAACCATATTTACCTTATTCTCCATCTAGAAATTCCTTGAACTTTTTGCACGTGCAAAACTTTACTCCTTGAAACTTGAGGTCACTCAGCTCATAGCATCACTAACCCCACACTGCTCAAGATATTCTGCATGGAATCCATGTAATCATAGTTGTGGTATTTCAGTTACCCTCACAAGGGTCTGAATGCTACTCCCAAACTTAAAAATATTTTTCATTTCCTTGGTTAGGATCTTGGCTTAAAGCTAAAGGTTCTTGGAATAAAAATAAATTCAGCCTTCTCATCTTTTCTTTGCTCTTCTGTTAGAATTATAGGTGTTAGGAATGCAAAATTATGGTTGGAAAGTGGAAATACTGTTTGCAGTGGAGAAAAAAGATAAATTTAGATGTCATTTGATGCATGCATGAGTGTCTGTTTTCTACTGTGAAATCACGATGATGGAAAATTTAGCTTTTTCTTATTTCAAAAGCTGTGATTATCCAGTGTAATCTGCTCTGTCTTTTGAGACCAGAGAAGAGCACCTCAGATTTGATTTCTAGACAGATCTGTTTTTATAATCTTAAATGTAACACTGAATCATATGTATGCTTATTACATTGTAAATATATATTATTTTGATGGTAAGAGAAGCATTAGCATCAGATAAAAAATTCAGTATGAGCTAGATAGCCCAGAAAAATGCATTTTTAATGCTTTTCCTGGCATCTTATCCTATTTTTGCAGTTTTGTTCCCTAAACAACAGCTCTGTTCCAAGTACTGGAAATCTGACAGGCATTTCTGTGTCCCCACTGTTCCATCATGCTATTTAGACTGAAAGGAAAGAAAAATGTGCCACACTGATACCATAAAATACCTGCATTAAATTAAAACTTCACTATTAAGGGAAGGATAACCCTAGCTTCCCCCTCTCTGTATGTCTATAATAAATGTATTGCCTTTTTTTTTTTTTTTTTTTAAACCAGTGTAGCTTTAGTTTCTACCAGGAGGGTGTGTTCTGTGTGCCATTTGTCAGCATTTCACACATACCAGTTATTCATTCTCCCTGTTCAGAGGCCTTTTAGGCATGTCTCGTTATGTGCATAGGGAACCATCCAGAATTTGTCTTTAGTTTTGATAGTTAGGTCAGCTGCTGCTCCAAATCATTTAATCTTTCATTTTTGAGTGCTCTTCTGTTGTATTTTTGGCAGATGATGTTCTTGTCACAGGTGTATTTTCCACATATAGTTTGGATGGTGTCTAGCTGATCCATGGTGCTTTACTTGTTCTAACTTCTGCCTTCTGCACTGTGTGCTGACAGTGAATTGCAGCTGCACAGAGTATTTACAAGAGGTAATTATAGTCTGCAGGTTTTGCATGCAAGATCTGTTGAGTCTTTTCTGCTCCATTTTGTTATTCCTTTTAGAAATCAGTGGCTTGAAAAATGGCCTGTATAATTTTTGTGTGTGTGTGTTGGCCACTGTGCACATTCTGTCATCCCTACAGGATTGTTGCAGTTCCAGTTGCAATCCTGTCCAAGCTGGGAAGGTGCTGACAGAAGCTTAAACTAAGCTATAAAAGCCGCGTCTCTTTCCAAGGGAATGGTTCTGAAGTGCAGCCCCAACCAGAACTAAAGCTTTGTGGTTTGGCCACAGAAATGCCATAGCTTAATAAGGTTCAGGAGCTTCAATGTTTGGCCATTGCTGACGTTTCCCACCAACTGCTAACTAGAACATCTTCCTGTTTTCTCTACTCTTTCTTCCCCCAAAATGGTGGTGCTGCACTGAATGGACTGTCTCCCATTGATGGGCGTTAGCGTCTCTTAAGGAAGCAGTAGCAGTGTGGCTATTTTTAGGCATTCCCCAAATTAAGCAACACTCTGGCAGCAGCTCTCCACTGAGGGAAAGGCCTGTTCTTATTGTTTAATCCTGCTAATGACCATTCTAGACTCCAGCTCCTCATGGTTGCACCCAGCTGCATTGACCTACTTCCTGTCCAGTAGCTGACAGTGAGTAAGAACCAGCTGATCTATTTTTTCAGCTCATTCCTTTACCATACTATTAGGAATGTGTGTCACTTCTGACACCACTCAGCCCTCCTTTTCAAAAAAAAAAAAAAAGAAAAAAGATAAATTCTCTTCTTATATTGTCTTTACTAAATGCAAGAGTATTGGAGGATCTCAGCCTGTCACTCCTGTGTACCTTATCAAATTCAGAATTTTCTGGGCAGTTTTTAAAGGCACCTGCCAACTTGCACACAAGAATCTGAGTAGGGATGTTAGACTATCATTCCTACAGTCCCTAATTTGTTCAGAGAGTATTCCCCTCTGATGTAAAGTCTGTAATTAGATTATGTCTAGCACCATGGATAAAGGTTGTAGCGTTTCTCGGCCTGCCCTTAGCAGGAGTAGTTTTGAAATGTACCGTAAATAACTCCCAGAGCCATGGGACACTTAGCAATAAAAAAACTAATAATATGGTAAGTAACACGAGGTGCAGACTAGCTCCTGAATGGACCAGCTTAGTGACCTCATTTTGAAGATACTTCTGCATGTATATCTAAAAATGGGTGGGGTTTATGTCTTCATATCAGATTTGCCTTGTTTACTTACCCAGAGCTTAAGATGCTGTTAAAAATTTAAAGATTGTCAACCATCTGAAGTTTAATCACTGTCAGCTGTATTTCCTCACAGAAATAAACTGAGGCTTGATCATCCTGGTTCTTCTTGCAACATGATAAATAAATAAAGTCCTTGGCTTCTTACTCATTAGACTAGACAGAAATCTTGAAGGTTGTGCTGGGGTTGGCAGAGAACATTATGTGAGGAACTTAGAGTTTGTAGGTTATGTTGAATTGGCAAGAACCACTGTGTGATTTATTTTTTTTTAAAGTATGCTTCAAAGAACACCCTAATATTATTGTATTTTAAAACACTGCTTCTTGCTAATCCTAGATGCTTTCTGCTGAAGGAGCACAATGACCTTATTCTAACTCTTTTTCTCAAGTCATCTGTCTTGTTATGTCTCGCTTGTTCCTATTGGATCTGCATGAAGGTAGATACATTTGCAGATGCCTTTCTGTGTCTCACAGCTGCATGTAATTGAAATAAGAGATATGCCAGCCACTTCCTAAACTTTATAGTGACATCAGTTTACTGGAATTACAAGTCACTTGGTCTCTTTTTTTTTAACATAGACTGTAGTTAAGCATAGGAAAAATGGGTAACTTGAGCAGAGCTGTCTTAAACACACAAGTCTTCACTCATTCAGACCTCTCTAAATGAGGATAGATGTAGAAAATAAACTATTTCAGACAGGTTTGTTGTGAGGAATCTTATTTTCTCTTTAGATTGTGGTTTCTTTTATGAATTTGCATTTCAGTCACCCATTTCTGATTGACTCTCTAGGCGTCCTACTTCCGAAGGCACAGCTCTGCTACAGCGAAGTAGGCTGCCAAGTGTCCAGGACTTCAGGTGGAGAGTGGACGTAGCAATATCCACAAGGTATAAAAGAGAGTTCTGCATGACCCTAGAAATTAATTTGTCCAAGGTTAACATGAATTGTTGTGCTGCTTCAAAATATTAATGGTGTTAAAATGTATCTTGCTGTTAGGGACTGGCATGTAGCATTAAATGGCAAGATACAGAGGGGATTTTCTGAACAGTAAGGAAGTCAGTTTATATGCTGCTAACATGGACCTGTCAGAAGGCTACTACCTTCTTCTTCCACTTAAGATACTTCTTAGGCTCCTTATTTGTTTTGATCTCTAAAACTAGAATATTAGAATAATTTCACTCAAAGTGTGAGTCTCTCTTTCAATATTTTACAACTCAGTGAAGCTGATGATACAACTCCAAAGGGCCTCAGAGATGATGAAACAAATTAGATGGATTGAGCCTCACACAGCCAGCCAAGCTTTCAGTTCCTCAAAAGCAGGAGAGAGCAATCTTCAATTCAACTCAAGTAGACTGCTATTTGCATGTTGCACGTGATAAATATAATTACTTTCCATCACCTGTACAGTCTGCTGTAGATTTTACAAAGAGAGGCTGCAGAACAGCACCTTTACACTGCCATGGTTACGCAGTTGGTTATTGATCTACCTCTTAGCTTATTTCACAAAAGAGAAGTGAAAGCCTTTACTCCTGTACCACCAAGGTATCACTACGCTAAGAAAATCTGTACCTATAAGACAGCAAAATGTACAGATAACATCCTCAGGCACAATGCTTGCAAGCTGCAGGCTAATCCTATGATTTGTTTTCCAAGCAACACAGGAGCAATACGTTATCCTTCTCTATTTTCCTCCCTCTTACTTTCCTTTCCAGTCAACCTGCCCCCTGGGAATTCTTGTTTATCATCCAGCAACAGCCTCTGCAAAGAGGTATGGCTTCTGGCTGCAACTGTCAGTACCTGAGCAGGCTTTGGCAACACTGGTTGATGGAAGCTGCCCAAGAATGACTCATTTCCTCTCTTTGTGTCATCAAATAAAATAATAACCCACAAATTTAGGATGAAGACTGAGAGAGCTTGATTCCCCAGATGAGATGGCAGTTGAAAGTACATATGAAGGAATGGAAAGGATTCATGCAACATGCTAAACTGCATAAGAAAACTCTGCATTATTGCTAGCTTGGGCAGCTTTTATCCCTGCCATGGTTTCCATGAACTGATTATTATGTAAAATGAAAATGCTCCTAAACTTGCAGTTACTATAAAAAAAAATATTCTTGGTCTCAATACTGAGGTAAATTGGACATGACTCCTATGTTCATGAGTTTCCAGATAGCCAGGTACAGGAATCTGTGATTGGAATTACTCATGCTCTGTGTAAAGCCCACATGAACACCTTAAGCTGTTAATGCACAAAGCTGTGCTCATCACACCACTGATGTCTGCTGTTGTAACACTAATAATGTAAATCGTTTCAGCTCACTGGCCCGTGCACTTCAACCATCCATTCTAATGATGATGAAGCTTTCAGATGGGACAGCTCATCGCTTTGAAGTAAGTCTGAGTGCCTTAATAGATAAAAAAGAAACCACTTGAAGTTCTTTTTAGAAAGCTGATTCACTATTTCAAGTAGGAAAGCTTTTATAAACAGGGCAGTCATTGGTTGCTTTGCTTTGGAATCCATCATGTTCAGTGTAGCTGCACACAATATATAATGAAACACCAACCAAAATCCTTTTATACCTTGTTCCTACACACATTTTGGTGAAACCTTGTTTGTTAGAAGGATATTAATTACTGAAAAGCACTGTTGCATAATAACTAGTTTGATTAAAAATTATGGTCTTGTTATCAACTGTAACCTTTAGACCTGCTCTGGAGGGCAGGACAATTACTGGGGTAGTTTATGTAATTTAGATACACTTCTAAACCCCCTACATTTTGGCAGAGAATGGTAACATTCTCTTCTGTGGCAGAGATGGTTTTATCCTCTTTTTGTTCTGTAGGGTTCTTCCTGTTTGAAAGTAAAAAAAACCTCTTTGCTTTTTACCACAGAATTAGTCAGTGGCAGTATTTATGACACTGTATGTAAAGGTTTGCCAGAAGAGAGCATAAACTCTTCCATATTTTTAACCTTTGAAAAGGAATGTTATTTGTTCTATAAATAACATGGTGGTCCATACAGGAATTCAGTGCACAGCAGGCATTGTTACATTTGAACTCTAAGGATTTTGGCTTCAGCTCATGTGTCAGTAGTTGTGTGGAGGAAGCACCAAAGCAGTGTGGGTGCAAAGAGGTAGACTGAATTTACTGTACAGTGCCTCACAAGAAGGCAGCTGTTGAGGAAGGCACAAGTTCTGTGCTACATTGCAAAGTGCTGAGGGTGTCACTTCCCAGAAGATCAAATTTACCCCTCTCTGGACAGTCCAGCTTGGAGCATCCCTTGTGCTCTCTTTGAGGTCTTCCATGGAATTTAAATGGGGCAATGGTTCAGGTTAACCCTTTACAACCAGCTAGGTTTCACTTATGAGAATAAAAACTAGTATATATTCTTTACTGTTTAAATTTGGGATTTAATTTCCTGGTATATAATGTCAAGTCTTGGTGGCATTGTTTCTGGTTGCTTTGGCTGGGTTTTAAGTGTTTTTGCTGTAAGTCTGTGGGAGATCCTTTGCCATTCTGCAGTGGAAATGTGTTGCTGTGCCTGCCCAGTACAGGCAGAAGTGCAGATATCTGATATGTGCTTCTCCTGTGATCAGCTCTTTGCTGCTCCCTAGATCTGAATGCCAAAGATCTGGCTAGAAACCTGATTTTTGTACCTGATGAGTGTTTTTTAATAACTCTCTGGGATAAACCTATGTTATGGTCCAAGGTACCATATGCAAGCAAATATAGTCCTCACCTCCTCAGTTTCCTTTCATTCAGACATGTACCAAATGTTCTGCTACCTATGTAAGATGGTAAGTCCAGAAGGTAATTCCTTTATGAAGAGTTTTAAAACATGTATGCCACTGGGAGAAGTTCCACTCTTTGTGCTCTTGGGTTTGGTTTGTTTTTTTAATCACAGTGCCATTTCTGACAAAAGATTTCATAAAAAGTGACTAATTAAATTGCAGAATTTTGAGTCTTGTGGTATAAATGTCAAAAGTGAAAAGGACATGATACATTTTTGTGCATTTCTTATGCATATGGAAAATGCAAATCAGATGTTGGATTCCTCTCACATAATTGGTATCTGTGCTTCAGTAGACAGACTGATGACAAGGGACTCTGTGTGTCTTCTGTGTAGTCAAAGCAGAGTCCATGAGACTGTGTTGAGCAGAGCAGCCTGGGACTGGCTGGGATGCTGGTGGGACTCCTGGGAGCACACGTTTCTAAGGCCCAACTCCTTTCTTCTGCAAGTTTGGACAAGCAGAATATCTGGAATTTGTTGTTTGGGGTTTCTGTAGGCTCCATGACCTTCCAGGAGTCTTCGTCTTTCCATCCAAACCATGACACATGTACGCTTCACCACATCAGTCACCACTTTACATTCTGGAGTACTTCTTTTTTCACACTAGGCAAGAAAATGTACCATGTAGCTGCTCTTTCCGCTTTTTCCTACTCTCCTTTTTCACCCAGATGATTTAGTTGCCTAACTGAATTCTCTTAACCTCAGATCATTTGTCTTAAACCTAAAAAAAAGTATTTTAAGAGATATTTGGCTTACACTGTGGAATGGTCCCTATCCACAGGCATGCCCTAGTGAAAGTTCCTAATGTTTCATGTTTCCTAACCTGAATATTCTGTTTCAGGTGCCTGTTGCAAAGTTTCAAGAACTGAGATATAACGTTGCCCTTATACTGAAGGAAATGAATGATTTGGAGAAAAGGAGCATCCTGAAGATCCAGGACTGAACACTCTTACATTGGGAGTTGATAGAACAGATCTAAAACCCAGAGTGTGCTTCACAAATGACAAAGCAGGGGACCATCACCAGTTTGCCTCTCTGAACTGCAATGTAGCATTTATGATGTCTACTGTAAATATTTTTTTTATTCAAGTGTTAAAGCACAAGCTCATTTCATAAGAGTAAGGAAAACCAAAAAATATATCTATGAGAAAGTATAATGCTGTTTGTGAGCATTTTTGCATGATTCATCAAAACATTTTTTTAATTAACTGTCTTAATAGATATAAGAGTCATTTCTTTCTGATTATGATTCATCAGTCTTAATTAGTTTTGAAAGCCTGCTACCGGAAGCCCCATCATGTGTATCATAAGAAAGCTCTGCAATATCTCAAATGAAAAATAAAATTAAAAAAACACTCATGCACTCTAGTGTGACAAATGTGAACTTGAGTTTTGAATAAGTAAAATTGCTGTCTGGCTTCTCACCGAGTGACTGAGGTTATAGCTACAGATATTTAAAGGCTAATTTTGAAGAAAATTGGAAGTCTGTGAATCAAGAAAAAAGTGTTGACAGAGCTTCCAGAAGTAATTTCATGGAATCATAGAAACTGAAAGGTGCAATCTCAGTCTTTATCTTGTTGATCAAAATGGGCTAAATAGCAGTAATCTCACAGGTTTCTAACTGGAAATGCCTGTCTCTTGTTTCATGCATTTTCTATACATTCCATGTGAAGGGAACCATCTGACTTGTTACTGGGCAGAAACCTTGGACACTGCAATGGGAGCAAACAGCAGGAGACAGTCACCTTGCAGACCATTGCAGCTGCATACTCATTAGCAGTGCAAGTCAGACCCCAGGATGAAGAGGCTGCATACAGCCTCTGAGATGGAAGTCACAGGTAAGAGGGTATTCAAGCCTCCAGCTCAAGAAAACAGGTAAGCACAGGCTGAAGTTCTCTGAACTGGTCACGCAGCCGCTGAACTGGTCAGGCAGTTGGACTCAGATGATCATTGTCTTTGCCTTCCAACTGAAATAATATATGCTAAGTTACTGCTGTGCCTCATGAGTAAACCTTGGAAGAACTCCCTTAAATTGAAGCATATGTTTTAAGTCTCATTTGAATGCTATGGGACCACAACTATGTCCCAAGGGTTTTGCCAAGAAGGGCTGCATTCTTCAGTCACTGCCTGAATGCGTTTTCCCCCAGCAGCCAAGATAAGGAGGCTGTGAGCAACAGCCCAAAAACAGCACAGGCTGTGGACCCTAGAACTGTAGGATTTTTCTGGCTGTCAAAGGTAGTTCAGAAAGCACATGCCACTACCATAATCAAGCACTAAGTTATTCTAGCTGCTTTCAAGGTTTCCAACTCTGTAGTTCTTCCATTTTTTTGTGATTGTAGAACTTGCCTTTACGTCCCTCACTCCCTGCAGAAAACTACTGAAAATAAATTATGGATTCAGAAGGTCTTTTACACTCCCACAGATATTTGTGTAGGAAAGGATGACTTGGCTCTTCGATTTTAATAATCATAACAGGCATAAAAAGTCTTGCTTGTCATACTTTTTAAGAGACTTTTTGACAGCAGTCCATACCAATCAAAAGACAGCTAAACAACTGTGGCCCAGAAAGCTTTTAAAACCCATGCAGGAACGTGTCCTGTAGTTCCAAATAAACCTATCAGCCATGATTTCAAACTGTTCGAAAGCTGCGTGTTCCACTTGCTGCCTTTGTGGGCTACTCATCAATAACTTCCATACTGCATCTTAACTACTTTGGTGTTCAGGTCATACCAAAGCATTTAAAGAGGAATTAGCTCCTGTAACTTCAAGTGGACTGTAGACTGCATTAATATGATGGGGGGTTTTTTTAATTTGTGAAGCTTGTTTATCTTCTTTCTGGAACTGGATCATCACAAGCTCTGAAACAAAACACCCATTCTTATGTTCCTTGCTATAACCGTTTCCTTCTGAGTATTTAGGTTTACATGGTTTTGAACTGGAAAGGATCTTGACTGAGACCATAAGTGAAGTCTTTCCAGGACCAAATACTACATGGGTGTAAAATGACCTATTGCTCAAGACATTTGCAAAGTATTTTTTCACTGGTCAGAGCAGTAGAATCCATAAATACCTTTACCTTCTAGATAGACTATATTAATTTGGTTGTTCTGCTTTAACAGAATGGCCCATGTTGTCCAGAAATTGAAAGACTTGCAGTTTTCTTCATGTTCTCTGCAAGCTGTGATGGACCTCTTAGTCTCAAGTTTATCTTGCCACACATTAATCAGCAGTTTACTGTAATTGGAGGTTTACCATGCACACGGAGGGGTACTTAAACACAAGACTTTCATTCCTCTGTACTTAAGAGTTAATTTGGGGTTTCCTTCTGACAGATGAGCTTTCCAGTAAAACAGCAGTTGCCACCAAAACAGCTAGTGTGGGTGGATAGGTCCTTGGTTTTGATAATACAAGCCTTGCAATTACTGTTAGGTTTCTCAGAACTTCATGGTGCAGTAGGAGTTAAATATTTGTTCAACAAGGAAATATCTTCTGAATTCACAATTAAAATATTCTGGAATTTGAGTTCCACACAATTTCTGACTTGTAGCCCTTTCGTTCCAACACAGAACAAAAGTAACCTAAGACTTTGGGTATGTCAGAGCAGAGATTATTTCATCCATCTCAGTCTATGGCTACTCTTCAAGGACATGCTGTGAATCCCTCTATGAACATAAATTTCTCCATTATACCTTTTCTTTCACTTTCTTTATATTATATAGAACATAATGCCTTTCCTTTCAAGATTAATAGGTCAAACCATATTTAAAATAGAACTTGATTGTTTTCCAGTGTGAATCATGTGTGTGTAACAGCAGAGATGCCCAGTGCATGCAGGAGTAGTCCCAGCAGGCAGAATGCAAAAGGACAATTGAAGATAGCTGCCAGAAGCCACTCAAAGGTTCAGTGGCAAAATCACACAGAAGTCTCAGGTCTCCACTTCTTGCTCTCTAACCCTCAGTTAGCACAGCTTCCTGATGTAATGGTCAGACCTCCCTCTCATTTGTTTTGTTGTTTTTTTCAATTGTCTCAGCTCCATAGGCCATCAATCCAAATGTGATCTTGCCTATGGACTATCACAGTGTAAGCAGAGCACTTGAAAATAAAAAGCCATCTGTGGCTTTAGTTGTTATGTGACTTTTCACATCCCTGCTTCTAACAGAGAAGGAGCTTTGTCAGCGTGACTAGTAGGTCAGGATTTCACACTTGGGTTAGTTGTGTTTGTTGGTTGATTTTGTGGTCTCAAAGTGTGATGTAGATTATAGCTTCAGAAGAAGGCAGAAGAATGTAGTCATGCTCTCATGCTGCCTGTTACGCCAGCCATTAAATGCTTGGAAGAAGATCAGTATTGTGCTCACTGTCACTAAAAGGAAGGAATCAAACCTCTCTTTGTAGAAAACTCATACAAGGGAGATGCGCTTTTGCAGAGTGACTCACCTCCTAGCTTTAACTTCTTCAGTTTAAGTGAAAGATAAATCAGTTCTTGAGCTCATGAACAATGCAGGTAGGTAGGGGGGTGCACCTTTTTTTTTTTTTTTTTTCTTTTTTTTTCTTCTTAATCAAGTATACCTCATGACCCACTGTTGCTCCAAATCCATGAATATATGTATGAGTATATGAAAATGCCATGCTTTCAGGATGTGTTATATAAAAAAAGCCCGCATATGTAGATCAAGAACATACATTCAATTTACACAGCTGTTTTTGCTAAAACAGTCTTTGCAGAGCCAGGCCTGATTTCAGAATAAAGTATTTTGTAGTTGTTTGACTTTTAGTGAACAGCAAATCAGTATCTTGGCTTTAAAAGATGTTGCAGTGACTGTACTGCTCACTCTGTACCTGTCACACCCCACAAAGTACTAACATTTACTGAACACCACACGTACCAGGAACTAGCAGAGGCAGAGCCAGCTGGTTTCAAGCCCTAAGAAGTCACAGACTTGTTGCCCAGAGGCCATCTGTGATAAGGTCTTAACTGTTTTGTGGCTTTGGACAAAGCCAGAAACCCTCATAACTGCACAGCTTCTGTTCTGAACATTCACAAGCATTCAGCTCCCACCATGGGAGGTGCTGATAAGCACAGCTGCCCTTTCCTCTTGCAATGTTCAAGCCATGTCCCTGCTGGTGTAAGAGAATTCCCAGAAGGACATTTCACAGTGCTTTTTTGAGACATTTCAGTCCCGAGTGATCAGACTGTCAGCTGGCCCTGCAGATGCTTTCATACATTGTAAACACAAACAGTGGAAGTTCCATTCAGAGCACAAATGCTGATTACATTTTCTATGATAATCTATTTCCATTCCCTATCTTGAATTCATATGCTGCTAGAAACCCTGCCTTTACACCCTGACTTATCTCTTTAGTGTCTGCTATGTAACTATGTAAATACTGGTGGCGTATCCCTGATAGAGAGCTTGTCATTGCATTGCTACTGGTAACCAGTGGTTATGTCACTTTCCCTCGCTTGAATAGGCTTTGACTCATAGTGGTTTTCAGGACAATGGTTATAAAATAACACAGAGGGGTTGCCGAGACAGTAGTTTTGCAATAGAGACAACTGTCGACCTCAAGGCTCCAAGAAAGGTATTTTTTCTTTGCAGCCTTTTTTTTTTTTTTTTTGGTTAAGATTTTTATTCTTTCATAGCATGAGTTTTTCTTGCATGGAGCTTTGAAAAACAAGAAGGCTGTGTTAGCAAAAGCTAATTCTTTCTAACTGCTCTGCAGCATTGCTTAACTGAAATTTTAAGTGCTTCAGTTGTCCTACCTTTGAATTATCTGATGGCAGGATGTTCTTGGGCATAGGATTATTGTCTGACATAAGTGATGGCAGAAAGACTTACTGAAACTAGCAGTAATTCAATTAGCCTTTTTCTTTTTCTGATTAAAGGACTTGTCTGGGAACAATGGTTAGATGTTAAAATTTTCCTTAAAAAAAAAATATATATATATATATTCCTTTTTATAGATTCAGGAGCCCTAGAGACAGGGGCCAAATTTTTGGCAGGTGCAAAACATCTTGACATCAAAGACAATGGATGAATCTAATGGCTGGGTTCTGTTCCCAGGTGACTTTCTGTATAAGCTTAAGGATTGCCTACACAATGGACACATGAACATCACAAAATGAGACCTCATTATTAATTTAGAGCATATATTAATAACAGTTAAAATTGATAATTTAAGTGGCTTTAAATTATTTTTTCACTTAAAATCTAAGTTAATCCTAACTTTGTCAAGTATCCTCTCTAAACAAGGCTTTACAAGTCATGTTACTTCTCCTTTCTTCCATCTTTTGTCCTGTCCACTCAAAGCCCATAGGCAGGGC